CACCCAAAAAAAAAAATAAAAAGGAAAGAAAGAAAGAATGAAAAAGACAAGACAAGAAAAGAAAAGAGCTCTTGTTTAAGCTGCATACGTGAGCTTGACATTTCTCCACCACACAGTGCTTCTGAAACGCCGAGCTTGCTTCCTGAATCGGAATGTATTTCCTTGCATATTAGCAGTTTTATCAACCAGCAACTCCAGGCGATCACCTCTCTCCAGAACTTTATCGATATTTTCAATCATGACATTACGCACCTGTTAAAGGCATGGGATATCCTCAAACTTCTCAGTAAATGACAAAATAAGGCTGTTATCATGTGATTGAATGCAATTTCTAGCTTGTATGAAAAGATGTATAACATTACAGAAAAGATGTATGACATTACAAAAATCATTAAATCAGTAAGTCACTACTACATGGATTACGAGGAATGTCTTAATACTGACAGATAATCTGAGGGAATTGAAGAACTGCATCAATACACCATTATTTTATTTGGTCTATAACTCATTCCTATCCCAATTTGTCTGGCATTCTTTGACTATAAAATAGAGTATAAAAAGGTAAGAAAGACTTTTGACAAATAAGCTAAATATATATAAAAGGCCCCAAGTACCATTATGTCACACATAATTTTTATCTATCCAACTTACATCAAGACATGTCAATGGTAAAATGAGAATGTCTAACTATACAAAGGTGCCAACCTTTTTGGGATGGACAAAAAAGGAAAGAGTGTCAAACAAATTGGGGTTGGCGAGTGGTATGTTTTCCATGGTATTGATGAGGTACCAGTAACAATTTTGTTGAGTCATTTAGAGGTAACCAACTATATATGCGGCATCCCTCTTCAAATTGAGAAAATTGCTGATGTGCATTCATCTAGCACATTAGCTTCCTGAACAATATATGGGAACTGACCTGGCTCATTTCACCCTTTAGCCTGTTTATTCTGTCTGCATTTGGATCACTAGAGTAATACTCGATTTGCTGGCTAAGGACCCTTGAGAATTCATCATTCATGGCATAAGCTTGTGCAGAGAGAACTGCCCGACCATAGGTTCTCACAAATCTTTGGTGAATTTCTTCCAGGAATGCAAAAGGGATTCTTCCTGTAAGGAGTTTCAATACAGTAAAATATCCATGGAAGATGACAGTCTTCTGAGCTAACAGTCAAGAATATAAAATGAAGTTTCTCCTAGTGCAGTAATATTACAGTAGATCAGTCTGTGTAAGATTTAGAAAACTTCAATTTTCAAAATCCATAATGTGCCTTAAAAGACTGATTATTTAGTGTTGAATAGAAATAGACCAGAATAGAGCTGAACAAAAACAGAAGATTCATATAGCTCCCAACTAATTTGGACTTGAGGCAGTTGATTCATTGACAAGATCAACTTCACAATTTAAAACGTTTTAACTAAACTCAATTAGATGTCTGAATTCTGATAATGTTTAAATCTTTTTCTTAGAAAATAACAAGTACCCGAAGTTAAAAATGCATATTCTAGAGAATGAGTACAATGCTGAAGTTCAAGATGTCCAGAGGGAGAACAAAGTAAATAATCTAACAGTATCTAATGTTGTTGGAAGCTAGTGACTGAGGTAATGAGAAGGACCAATAACTATAAACTACCACAAAATTCTTTATTAATCTCTAGTGCACACTGCAGATTCCACACCAAAAGTCCTCAACAATGTTTAATAGTCCATCAGTCACAAAAAGAATGAAACAACTGATCACACAAGAGTAAGCATTTCTAATTTTCGTTGTGATTTTGGTACAAGTTTCTTTATTGAAATAAAATTTAGATATTTAGAAACTACATATAAAATGTTATAAATCTAAGTTTGGTTTAAAACATTTCAAAATCACAGAAAAGAACTGTTTAAACCCCCCAAAATACAATAGTGCCCTGTTATCCTAGGCAAGGTCTCAGTACAATCCAAAATCTAGCAAACAGAACGATCCTATATTTTGGATTCAAATTTCTGGAAATAAATCCAAAATTAAAACATTCCTGAATTTCTAAGTCAATTACGCCCTCAAAACTGCAAGTTTTTTTTAACTTTTTGTTGGTTACCACTCTTCACTTTTTCATAATTAAATTGACCAAAAATAGGCACTTGAAAAGTATATAAAACATCAAATTCAATAATCCCAAGTTATTAAACTCCAAAATCAAACATCACAACCTAAAAATACGAAAAAGACATTTTTTTAAAGAAAAGGTCAACTTACTTCCGGCAACCTCATCGGCCATACAGAGAACAGTGAGTCCATCGGTACGTTTAACATGGAAAATATAGCGATCCTGAGAATACGAAGCATTAGAATCATTATTCCCTGGTATTTTCTCCAATATCTGCCTCGCAATTGCGCTCGCGTTTGTCGACGTAGCACTGTACTCCGCCAATACAACCGATCCCCTCGCTACCAGGGCATACAGAATCGCCATTTCTCCTTTTCTCTATCTATTGCTCTTCCTCTGAATTATAGAAATAATTTTGTGAAAAAATCTGTGTACGATTGTACTTGTATATATCTGATTGGATCAATCGCTATCAAAGAGTTGAAATTGGAAATAGTTAAGATTAAAATGAATTAATTGACGTATTAAAATGTGATGAGTGGGGTATATGTATGTGTACAGAAGAAGAGATGATTGATTGAAAGCTGGATCTTAGGCGGGGGAACATTGACCCACGCTTTTCTGTTGCCTTTTTGGGTTGTCAAATTAGCTTATGCATCATCACTGAATTTAAAATTTGAAAGCCGTTTATATACTACTATATATTTTTTAGTTTAACTTTGATGCTGAATCAAATTTAAAGTAACTTATGGCTAATTAATTATAATAATTAAATTTCTGATCGTTATATAAGAATAAATATGGTACAACAAGTTAAATTAATAGTGATATAATTTGTGTTGTGTTAAATTTTAACACAAGTTTATGTCACGTATTGTCCGCTTTGCCAAATATATCTTACAAATTTGTTCCTTAGCTACGCCATTCCGTTCAAAAACGTGCATATCATGTAAATTTGTGATAAATCTTAGCACTTTCCTTTTATCATTATGTGAAATTCACCTAACGTGTTATGTGTATCTTTTTTTTTTTTTTACAAGTTTGCTAAAGTTCTTTATCCCTTTAGTCAGTTCGTCCTCCATCATGAGTGTCATAAATAGTGAATTATTCACGCTATAAATAGTCGTGGTTACTAAAAATAGTTGTCTCAAATTATTTGTCATTTTAGAAGTTCAAGACAAAATTAATATTTTTTTTCTTTTTTACCCTTAATAATAATTGTTCTTGAAGATGAAGATAACACATAAATAGAATAAATATCTAATCTTGACACATATATAAGGGTTGAATGATCCAATCACTTTCTTAATTAATATTTATTTCTTAAGGAGCATGGAAAAGAATATGAAATACTTCCTCCATTTTTGTCGGCAGATATTTTCTATTGTCATATTAAAATGACCAATTACAGTTATTATATTGCAAGTTTCAAAATTGGTCTTTAAGATGTTTTGTGCCATTAGGCTTTTCTCTATATACATTCGGCCTGTTATTACTCGTACATGTGGGCAGACTTAACTAACTAACTACTACGCTTCTTTTTGCAGTCTGGATAATGCTATTCCGACACATTTCTATGTACATTCTTGTTTGTCTTTACTTTTTTTGTCATTATTTTGTGCTTGTTGATTTCGTAAAACCAAATTGGGTTTGAATTTGGACAAATAGAAGCACACGTAGAAAGAAAGGAAATTTCCTATTGGACATATCCCACATCTTGTGCAGATTGATTATTCTGTTGGTTTCATATGGCTTAAAACGGGCCTAATACTAATGTGAATTTGGTGATTTCACCCATTTTTTATTATTTTTATAGATTAATAAACCTAATTTTTTTTCTTGTTTAATATCGAACAATTGATTCATGATTCGACCATACCTTAAACGAAATATCAAGCCCCAGAAGTATTAAGGATGCACTAGCTGAATTGATCAAAATTTGGACTAAACTTAATAATTGCAATTGATCGAGGATTAAGTCGACCACAACATAATGGCGAGGAGTCGTCTTAAGAAGGATTAGTGCCGAGGTCAAGTAAAGAATGAACGAAGGCAACAGTAGAATAAGTTTAGAATAGAAAGAAGGAATATTCCATTGGATATTCTTTTTGTAGTACTTTTTAGGGTTTCTTAGGAAGAGACAAAGAACAAAAACGGGATCTTCTTCACTTTTCAGATAAGAACATATTGTAAAGGGTTGATTACAAAAAATATACAAAAGCTTGTCTTGTCCACTGATTACATTGTTCGATACACGCTTTTTATTCACAAAATCTAAAGATTCCTTGTCCATCTTCATTTTCTTTTACTCCACGTTATCGTCAAGAAGGAGAATCATCCAAGTCATCTAACATTTGGGTGATAAATTCCTCCTTATTACCTTTATTGGCATTAGCTACATTTATTGCTTGCTTTTATTACTACATTCATTGACAATCATTGAGCATTTGTAGTTGGTATACAACATTTTTGGATTCAGCCCTACATCATTAATACATCTAAACGTTAGATCTAGCTGTTATTATATTTAACTAGGATTCACCCTCTATTATCTCTCATTAATTCGTTTTAAGAAAAAGTTTAGCACTTTTTTGGTAAAACAATTTGGCGTCGTCTGTGGGGAGTTTTTAGTTTCTTCTAGATAAAAAAAAAATACGACAACAACCATCTTTTTCTGGTTTGCACGAACTAACAATGGCACGAAAAGGAGATGAAAGACTGAAATTAGTAGTGGACATAACTGCCAACCTCTTGAACACCATCAACGAGGCTGACAGAGAAGACGAGGAGAATGTGATGCCGAGCGCTACACCCAGGCGGAGTGACTCACCTCCCCCTCATGGAAGTGTAACCGCTTCACGCGAAAGGGGAGCCTCCACGTCCACAACTGAGGAAGCGCCACCAACAGTGAAAAAACTACTGGAGACGTGGTTGAAAAGTACTCTAAACAACATACTCGATAAACTCGATCAAGGGGCGAGTAGAAGCGCCGCACGAGCGGATACCACAACAACCGCCAACGAGCAACCTGCTCCCACTCCTCTCCCAACAGGTAACACTCACACCGCTATTGATGCAGGTAATGGCGCACTTGCATCTATTCTGGAGAAAATGGAAGAAATGGAGAACGAGAATAAAGTGCTCCGCGGCCAAATGAGGGAGCATAAAAAAAGGGTTGATAAGATACCGGGCGCCCCGAAACTGCTACTAAAATGGGACGTCGGCCGGTTTATCGAACAACCGTACAGCGAGGAGCCAGCCCCACATGCCATACCCAAGACCTTTAAAATGCCACCATATCTGAAGATATACGACAGCACACCAGACCCCGAAGATCACATCATCCATTACGTCACAACAGTAAAAGGCAACGACCTCTCAAAAGAGCAGGTATCATCTGTGTTGCTGAAGAAGTTCGGTGAAACCCTAACAGGGGGAGCCTTAACATGGTACTCACAATTACCAGCACGTTCAATAACAACATTCAAGGAAATGGCCGACAAGTTTGTCACCGCTCACGCCGGGGCTAAGAAGGCAAAGGCCAGGGTGAATGACATATTCGTCGTCAGAAAATCGCCTGGCGAGGGACTTAGGGACTTCCTCGCCCAGTTCAACAGAGTTAGAATGAGCTTGCCAAACGTATCAGAAGGGATGGCGGTGGCAGCTTTTTAAAATGGGTTGAACAGGAATGGGTCGAGGGCGACCAGAAAGTTGTTAAACAGACTCATGAAATACCCTCCCACCACTTGGGAAGAAATTCACAATGCCTATTGCGCCGAGGTGAGAGCAGATGAGGATGACCTTAACGGTCCAACCCAATGGCTAACGTTAGTCTAAACAGAGTCGAGAAAAGACCGCCATAATGATGGTCGAAGAGACCATCCAGGTCACGCCTCAACCGGGATATGCACCAACCATATGTCAGAACTACCATCCCACCATCTCTTCTCCATATAGAAGGGACGTCCAGGCCACATACATGGACTCAGCGATATACTAAGGCGATACGGCATGAAGCTGAACCCCGAAAAGTATGCCTTCGGTGTAACCTCGGGCAAGTTCCTCGGTTTTTTGGTGTCACAAAGAGGCATCGAGGTCAACCCCGACAGGATCAAAGCCATCGAGGGAATACCGAAGTATTGACCAGCAAGAAACAGGTACAAAAATTGACCGGCCGTATAGCTGCCCTGTCAAGGTTCATCTCACGATCCTCTGATAGATGCCACAAATTCTTCAACGTGCTTAAAGAGGACAATGGACTCCAGTGGAATTCAGAATGCATCGAGGCCTTAAGAGAACTAAAGGCATACTTGTCCTCGCCCCCGCTACTCGCCAAAGCAGAACCCGGCAAGCGCCTCCTGATATACTTGGCCGTATTAGAGGTCGCAGTAAGTGCAATGCTGGTCCGTGAAAACAAAGGTACGCAATCTCTAATCTATTACATTAGCAAACCCCTGGTTGATGCCGAAACAAGGTACCCCCACCTCTAAAAGTTGGCCTTGCCATTAGTCATAGCTTCACGAAATCTTAGACTATATTTTCAATGTCACCTCATATCGGTGGTCACAACCTTCCCCCTGAGGAGCATCCTACATAAACCTGAGCTGTCGGGGAGATTGGCCAAGTGGGCCATAGAATTGAGCTAGCACGATATAATATATTAACCGCGAACAACAATAAAATCATAGGTACTAACCGATTTCGTCGCCGATTTCAGTGCCAAAATAATGCCTGAGGTCGAGCAGGAAATTTCTCGTACCTCTCCAGGTTACCTGACCTATGGGTCCTATACACTGATGGCGCTTCCAATGCATCAGGATCTGGACTGGGACTCGTACTTGAGGTCCCAATAGGCGAAGTCATCCGTCAGTCCATATAGTGCCCCGATATGACTAACAATGAGCCCGAGTATGAGGCCGTAATTGCAAGACTAAAGCTAGCTCTCAAGTATGGAGCACGACGAGTCATCCTCTGATGCGACTCACAACTCGTTGTCAACCAAGTCACGGAGACTTTCCAAATCAAAGAGCAGAGGCTACAAAAGTACTAGGCAGAAATTCATAAACTACTACCGAAATTCGATGAATGTCAGCTCGACCAGATACCTCGAGCGTGAAACATCGAGGCAGATGGCCTCGCCAAGTTAGCAGCAGCCACCAAAAACATGAGCAGAAAAGAAAACGTGGTTACCCTCCTCCACTCGTTTATAGACCAACTTGAGGTACACTCTGTAAATTTAACTTGGGACTGGCGCAACTGTATTATAACATATTTGCAGGAGGGAATACTCCCATCAGACAAAAAAGAAGCCAAAAAGCTTCGAATGCAGGCCAGATACAACATTATAAATCACGACCTATACAAAAAACGTTTGGCAGTCCTTTGGCGAAATGCCTAGGGCCAAACCAGCAAGATGCATCCTCAAGGAAGTACACAAAGGCCACTACAGTGCCTATACCGGCAACCGAGCCCTCGTCAGATGCCTCATATGAGATGGCTATTATTGGACCACCATGAAGAAGGAAGTTGCCGACTTCGTCAAGAAGTGCAAGTAATGCTAGAAATACGCTCCTATGATACACCAAGCGAGCAAGCACCTGCACTCGGTCACCTCGCCTTGGCCGTTCATCAAATGGGGGATGGATATCGTCGGACCCCTTCC